CAGGTTGCCTCTCTTTACTCTGAGTTCTCATTGGTTAATGACGATATCATCTTTTGTTCTGATTGGCAGTTGTGATAACTTTTGCTTTGTTTTTCAACGCTCAATTCAAAAGCACCCTACTGATTAGCTTCACGTTATTCGAACCAACCTCGTTCTCATCCCACTCTAACGCCTCGTGCAGCCCGTCAGAACCATAGCGACGGTTGTAGGCATCGAAGTGGACCTGAATTAACACAATAGTATTCATGGGTTTCATTTAGGTTTGGAGGAGGAGAGCATGTGGATTTAGCTTCAATTGAAGGAGGAACAAAATTCACTTTCATTTGGTTTTGTACAGTGTAAGGAGGAAATTTCAGCATTTGTATCGACAGCATTTGAAGTAGGACCCATGCCTTTGATAGAGCGTGCCTGTATAGATGTTTCCAAAGCCAAGCTTACCTCGTCAAGAACCAGTCCAACCGCAGGGGCTTTCGGGATATCAACCTTAAGACAACAATATAAATGTCTGTCAAGAAAGAATGAGTTCAGGGATCCAATCAAATGATAATGAAAAGTAGAAAGTTGATAACCTCAAAGACCCGAGGTACCCTAAACTTCCCTAAACCCTAATCTAAAGAAATAATATGAATATATCAACAAAGTTGAAATGGTAAATTGGCCACAGTTACGATTATAAAAGCTGACGTTTTGAGCGTTAGCCCTTCGTCGGAGCGAAACGTCAGCTTTTATAATCATAACGGTGGCCAATTTACCATTTCAACTTTGTTGATATATTCATATTATTTCTTTAGATTAGGGTTTAGGGAAGTTTAGGGTACCTCGGGTCTTTGAGGTTATCAACTTTCTACTTTTCATTATCATTTGATTGGATCCCTGAACTCATTCTTTCTTGACAGACATTTATATTGTTGTCTTAAGGTTGATATCCCGAAAGCCCCTGCGGTTGGACTGGTTCTTGACGAGGTAAGCTTGGCTTTGGAAACATCTATACAGGCACGCTCTATCAAAGGCATGGGTCCTACTTCAAATGCTGTCGATACAAATGCTGAAATTTCCTCCTTACACTGTACAAAACCAAATGAAAGTGAATTTTGTTCCTCCTTCAATTGAAGCTAAATCCACATGCTCTCCTCCTCCAAACCTAAATGAAACCCATGAATACTATTGTGTTAATTCAGGTCCACTTCGATGCCTACAACCGTCGCTATGGTTCTGACGGGCTGCACGAGGCGTTAGAGTGGGATGAGAACGAGGTTGGTTCGAATAACGTGAAGCTAATCATTAGGGTGCTTTTGAATTGAGCGTTGAAAAACAAAGCAAAAGTTATCACAACTGCCAATCAGAACAAAAGATGATATCGTCATTAACCAATGAGAACTCAGAGTAAAGAGAGGCAACCTGCTTGAAGCGCGGAAAAAAGCGTGTAATCTCAGTAGTCGTGATTAGTTTTAGTTTTGCATTTAATTGGTTGAGAGAGTGGCACGAGTTTTCTGGACCAATCACCGAGCGAAGTAAAGCAAAACCAAGGCAATCCAGTTTCACTTTCGGTACTCAATTGAACTTTGACTCTGGTGACGAGTTCCGCTCAGGGTTTCGACACGTCAGTTGCTGTCACCGGAAACAGTCGTTTTCAGGACCACTCAAACCTGAACGAGCGGGGTACACGATCAACAGTTACTCCTGGTTTAAACCTTTTTTTTTTTTTAAAGACATCACACTTGACGTGAGTCGTATCGAGTGAGGGTTATTAACAGGACGAAAATAGAAGTTGGGTTGATTTAGTCCAGTTTTACATTGAGTTCCTTGGATGGTATCTTTTCAGGAGGAAATACAGAAGTTTAAACACCAATATATTTATAAACAAATCATTGACACAGAGGCTCGAGAACATTCGTATCCTTTTTAACACGAAGTTGAAGTTGCCTTGCAGAGTGTATATAATTCGTAGTTTTGAATTTAAAACGTAACGAGAAAGTTCTGGGAAGCTTGACCCTTGAACTCCCAGAGGTAATGACTAACATGCGACTTCTCTTTTTAATACCCGTAAATGAGCCGGTAAAGAGGTAATGGGGATACTCAAACTTATCAGGTAGATGTTGTCATCTTGATCTAACACCAAAGTCTTGTTAGTAATTTACAACAAAATTTGTAGCAGCTTGAGGGGAGAATTAACAAACAGATCTTGGCAGTTGGAAGCATGAGAGGTTTGAGCTGGGCGTTACAGATTGGTTTTCGAGTGAGCGTTTTAAAAACAATTTTTGATTGGTCACAACAGCTATTCAGTGTCTGTACAAAGCGGGTAAATTTTCCTTGGATTGAAACTTGCATCAAATTAAAAACAAGAAACTGTTTGAAGCGGGGTACACTCTCGTATAAGTGGTGAATGCTACTTGAAGGTTTAAATAAAAACTGTTGGCCCCTCAACAGAATTAGTGCAAAGTGAAACAGTTGTTTGTGTACTTAATCCTTGACTAACTGCCAGAATGATGAAATGGCTGAGGTCATTACCAGACCATACGTATACGGACGAGAGAATGGAAGAGATTGGCACTAAAAAAGACGGCAATAATGCCAAACAAAACACAACAGCTGATGCAAACAACACTTTGCCTCACGACAACTCTGGTAATCAAGGGGGAAGTGGCGATGCCAAACAGCTTACGGAGGGAGAGGATATTGATAAGAAAGAAGATGCCGAGGCATCCGGTATTCAAGGGTGACTGATAACGTCTCGGTTGGAAGGAAAGCAATTGTTGTAGTATTTCAATAGGAACAATTAAAGATATTCATTTTCCTTAAATTTTTGCTTGATTTCGTTCATCCAAGGAAGTAATCCTTTGAGTAGATCCAAATTATTTTGTGTTAGGGACACACGCGCAATGATGCTTTTGCTTTTAGTCAGAGTGATATCGGCAGGGCTCGACATTAACGGTAGCCAACTAGCCACAGACTTGTAGAAATTCAGTTTTGCCCAGTGGTTTTCGATTTCCACAAGCCAGTTTGGCTAGTAAACAAACTGAATTTGTGGTAACATCTAAGTTGTCACTAAGTGGCTAGTAAGTTGTGTCAAGCCCTGATCAGTCTAGCTTAATTTGAACATTCTTTGGTCATGATAGTTGACCTTAATCCCTAATAAAGAAGAATACAAACAAAACCGAACCAAACCAGGCTAAATCCATTTTACCTTTAAATCATTTCCAACGACCTTTCACTCTTTAACTCGCAGAAGTGATCAACAAGTAACTTCCCTATACAATATCCAACGATTATCCAGCAAATTCGCGATGAGAATACTCAAACTTATCAGGAAAGTGTCGTGTTGATCTAACACCAAATTCTCGTTACTGATGTAAAAGGAAATGTCTTGCAGCAAGAGGGGAGAAGTAACAAACAGATCATATTGGGTTCTAGGGTTTTGCATACAGCCAACTTCATTCTTAATAAGACTCTCCAAACAGGATAATTATTTCATTTCGCATTTGTGTGGGCAATTGTGCCATTTAAGTTACAGCTCATTACGCAAAACAAACAAATGCATGAACAGCAGCAAGAATAACAGCAATATCCGCACTCCATTTTTTTTCAGTGTGTTGATTTTTTTTCTCAGCTTTGCTGTCATTTGTAGAGTAATTGCTCTCGACCAATCCTTTCGATGGATGACTAATACTGGGTACAACTGTAGGGCCTGACAGCATGTTCAGAAGCTCCCTGGACAGTTATATCGCAGCACTATCAAGTTTCAGTGTCTCAAACACGCCTTATCGGCTTGTCCACATACGTCAGACCATTCAAAGTTTGTTGTGGGAGTCGGCTGAATGCAGTGGTTGGTTTTGTTAATCTTGATCTCATAAGGTAGAGATTGCACTTTTATTATCCCATTTCTATGAAAAGGAAAATCAAGGAATTAAAAAATGGTGATGATAATTATGATAGTTAGAGATAACAAATCGACATTGGTTTCGCGTGGTCTGTACTCTCATCGACAACGATATTCGCCTTCATATTGGTTAAAATACGCCTCGTGGGTTCACAAAAGAATTTTACCACTGTGACGACGAATATCGTTGTCGATAAGAGAACAGACCACACTATACCACTGTCGATTTGTTTTCTACCACGATATTGGCGTTAGCTGAAACGATTCTTTCAGTGCGTGACACGTTACGTCACGTTGTCGCGAGCAGTGTTGTCTCTACTCTTATCGACAAAGGCTAATTGGTCAATCAGATCGCGACGTTACTGCCAATTGTGGTAAAATAGTGGTTGTAATGATGACGAAGACGGAGACAAACTGTCCTCTGGTACGATTTGTATCCAAGAATTCCGCAGTAACGTGGCCACCTAGTCTTTAACGGCGCAATTGCCAGGGACATGGGAAAGAGTGACTTTCTTCTCCACGCTCCTTCTGTGGTTCATTCATCTCTGTTTTATTCTTTTGAATTAATAGTTGTTGTCTATATACACAAACCAACAGACAATGGTCATCAATACCTGGAAACTTCCGCGCGAATGAGGTGTCCTTGCCGTAGAGCTTTGAAAGGAACTGTTATCTAGAAGTTAGGACAGTTTTCAGATTTTCCGATTAATACTTATTTTAAATAATTCATGTCTGGTTTCTGTTTATTAAAATAAACTGAATTTCGCGTGCATTTCGAAACTCGACCAGGACACAATCTGAACTCGTTATTTAACAAAATCGGGTTGGTTTTTTTTTTTTTAAGTTGGGGCGTAATAAGACGCATGGTACATTTCCCGGCAATGATAAAATCGGAATTAAGGGGCTCTTTGACCGTTAAAATTCCACAACGACTCGTTACGAACATTTTATACTCGGAAGTAATGCTTACTTTCTTCTTGTCTGGAGTATAGTCATGGAAAAAAAGCAAGTTTCCCAAACTGTAGTCAACAAATCGGCTGTCATAGTAGCTGTGGGGTTGTTGTACGTGGGGATGGCTGCCAATGACCAGATGGACGCCGAGTGACGTCAGATGCCGAGCGACCTCTCTCTGCAGGTTGTTCATTCGGGGATGGTATTCTCTGCCCCAGTGCATCAGGACAATGATCACGTCCACGTTCTTTGCCTGAGTGAGTCAACAACAACAACAATGACAACTTAATTTTTTTTTTTTCCACCCCAAAATGATACAAGACTGAAAAATTTATAATAATAGTACAGACAATGATAGGGGCGCTGGCTGCCCAAAATAACCTAAGAGTTAAAAATGCCAGGCAGCCAGTTAAAAGAAAAGATGTTTAAATGTCTAGGTCAGGGACACAAAAACAAAGAAACACAGAAACGCACACAAAGATAAACACAAAGATAAACTACCAGTATATTAAATACACGGCATACTGGTAGATACTCACAATATTAAACAGATACAATATATCACACGCTACAGAGCACTAGACTCAAATTGACTACAA